GGTCGGTGCTGCCAACCATGACTCCGCATCCCGGTCTCTACTATCTCCTCTCAAAGGGATTTCTTCTCGTGGACCAATTCCACAATATTCGCGACTTTTGGGGTCTTCTTGTACGGCGAACCACTCCAGCCATTGACCGTAGCCCACATGCGCATTCAAGTGGGAAGACTCGCGAGACGTGACAGGATTGTTAAGCTGTTGCAGCTTCCTTGCAGCTTCATTTGTGATCGATAGCACCGCTTCAACAAAGCTCACGCCCAATCTGGCAGTCATGTTCCCCGTGGCCATTGTCCGCAGGCACTCGAATCCCAGCTCGACCCGACTATCATACCCCGAATCGCGTTCCAAGATCCCTGAGACCAAGGTAACGATAGTTGCGATGCTGCAGCCCTGGAAATCGGTGAACGAGAACCTGGTGATAACTCGATGTCGCGTCAAGCTCTCAAAGAGGCGCAGGATCTTCCTTGCGGCTTTCGTACAGCCGTTGCCCAGGCTCTTGATCTTGTCGCTGATATCCGGTGCGTCGCGATCGACGGGCGGTTTCAACTTGGTCCTAACCAAAGTCACCAAGGCGACCTTGCCCATCGTGATCATTGCATAGTAGTAATTCAGGTAAAGATGAGCTATGGCTCGATACTTCCAGCTGCTTGGCGGGATCTGGTCGAGTTTCAGGTTGGGGGGAAGTGATCGCTTCCATGCTTTGAGATCATCTTTCCATGTTGATTGGGATAGGTCTGCTGAGCTGGGTAATCCATCCCTAGACTATATCAGTATAGTGTCTTCCTTATGTGCGGGAGTGTAGCATACGCAGGACCGGCGATTTCGTCCAGTATTCTGACCAAGCGAACGTAAGCCAGCTGACAGTCGAGGTTCTCGAACGATTGAGCTCGGTCAAGGACGCCGTTCTGAGACGGGTATGGCGCCGTGATTATTCGGGTATCTATAGAGCGAGGTCGGTTCAACTTTACAGTGGTACAACTTTTGATCGACTTAGCAGAAATTCCATTAAAGGGAGGGAGGGCCTTGGAGCACGAGCCACGCACCGTTCTAGCGAATAGATAGACCACCAGAGACGATATCGCACTTCTCGATCTCGCTCAGTCATGGACGGATCTTCTGAGTTGAGATGGAGATCGCATGCTAGAGCTTTTCGTAATGCCAGTCCCAGATAAACGTAGGATGTCCCAATCGCACTTGCAGGCATGAAATAAACTCCCAGGACAAATGGGGCTTGAATGGATCTCAAACATGAGCGTTCGATGATATCCGGTATGAGGGTCTTAGCATGAACCGCAAATCTATGTCCGAGATCTACATTCTCTTTGGGTAGTAGGCTAGGCTCGAATCCTTGGGGCTTCTCCAGCGGTGTCCACTGACTCCCGAGAGCGAACGTGGCCATGGCAAGGCAGACGAAGGCTGAATCAAATCTCAAAAGTGAGCTTAAGTCCGTATAGAACTCATCAACGTCGGCGAGCATCTGAGCCTGATCGAAATAGAAAAAAACATCAGTGGCGTGCTTCATGAAGACGTGGAGCAGGAAGTCGGCCACTGGACGGGGAGGGAACGCATCGATGGCTGCTTGTAATCTTGATAGTTCGGAGGGATGTAGCCCTTTTGGTTGAATCATTCTCTTGGGATAATCAGTCACACAGATATCCGCTGCGTTGAAGCGTGGGATCATACCGCCTGCATCGCGACCATCTCCCGTTCTTCCGGAGCATGATGGGGGCCGAGCGAGAACGCTTCTCGAAGCCGAGATAGGAAATTGGGCCACAGAACTCGCTTCAACTGATCTGCAATGACGTGTGTTGATAGACCCTGCGACAGAACAGAGGCTGGGGATAAAAGTTCGGAGTGATCAACCGCTGCATGATCTGGCATCCGTCTTGAATCGATGGTTGCGCTCGGGGATTGCGCTGGGATCTGGGTAAGCGACGGTTCAGTCCCTGGCGAGTCTCCTCTAGCAATTAGCAGTCAGTCGCGTAGCCCAAATTTGATGAGAGAATCTAATTGGGTTACATACTTCTCGAATCTGCAATCTAAATTCCTGAGTGTACATCGCTGACATTTGTGGTGTGCATCCAGACGAGGGTTACCCCTTGCTGGGATGCATTTGCTTTTCCTTCTCTTGCATAGAGTGCACCTGTCAGCTTGTCAATATGCACCCAATCGGTAGAGCGTGTACAATGACTATTGGCTCTCACGCTTGTGGTGCTCTCTTTCGATCCACATCTGCAACGCGCCGCCGTCTTCTCCGCCTCTCTGCAGTACTAGTCGAATCCATTGTCACCAGAAGCCCTGAGGGGTTAGGACGCGGCAATCTGACACCCATGTGACGACTGTGACCAAGCTCACCGAGACTTCCAGATTCCTAGGTATCTGCGGATGTGTGCAAGAATGAGTGAGTCGGCAATCTGTCCCGGACAAAGTACAGACATCCGACCCTCGGAAACGCGCCTCCGCTTATCTTCTCCGCATTTCGGTGCGGGGTTTGCCGACGCGATTGATAGCCTTTGATAACCTTACCAGACGGTTTTCAAACGGCTAAGGTATTGACTTTGTTACTTGTGGAAAGTATTGGACAGTGCAATTGAGAATACTCTCCATGAGTCTATCTACTGGAAGCCATTGACTGCCATGCCAAAGCTCAATCCCGCTTGCAAAATCCGAATATGCTAACACGACTATTTACAGATCTACAGTACATCCAACAAGAGCCGCCGCCGCCAATGTAAAAACCAGAATCACCTCAAAACGAGACACGCTTCCCTTCGTCTGAATCACTTCACATCACTCTACTACATCCACAAGCAGATCTTCCCGCTTGCCGTACCGCCCGCCACCCAGTTCTTACTCCGATGGAAGACCGCCACCGCGGGAACAGCCGTGATGCCCTCGCCGCCGAGCTGAGCCAGTTGATCCCCGGAGGCACTGTAGACATCGACGAAGCGGTTCATGTTGCCAATGCAGAAGCGCTGGATGGGGGACTGGGGGTTCTGTTGCCACTGGGGGCGAAGGCTTGGGATATTGTCAGTATATGGGTCCTTCCAGCGATAGTGAGGGTATTGTTTGTTTTGAGGAAACATACATGGTCACCCATCGTCCCGTCTGGCAGTTATGCCTGACGACAGTCTGAGGCTTCAACTCCTCTTCGGAGAGTGTGTGGCCTTTGTCCCACGTGCTGATTCCCTTGGGGCCGCTGAGATCGTAGATCTTGATGGTGTCGTCGTACGAGGAGGTGGCAATCTGGCCGGCACTGTTAAAGGCAGCATGCGACACGGAGAGCCGACTGTAGTGCTCGCCGACGGGAACCCAAGAGGGCTGCTCGTCGTCATCTTCTTGTACCTGGCGCCGGGTGGACCGGCCAGCAGCTTTCATGGGGGCTTGCAGCATGCGGAGATCCCAGAGGCGCATGGACCGATCGAGCGAGGCAGTTGCGAAGTAATGGGGTCTCGCGGGGTAGAGGGAGAACCCTCCGATCTTCTTCTCGGCGAGACGCCAGGTGGTCACGGACTGCGGTTTCGAGCGCTCGAGACGCGTGTCGTAGCGCCCAAATTCACCGTCGAGGGTTGTCCAATAGAGGACGTGCGGGTCGTCGGCGGCCATATCAAGGCCCGAGATGGGGACATCGTCGGAGGTGGATTCAGGGGCGTATTGCTCGACGCTGGTGGACTTCTCGAGGTCGGTCGCGCGGATGCTGCTGTCGTAGCTGGCGGTGTAGATGCGGGTTGGGGTGGAAGGGTGGATGTAGATGGAGCTGATGGTGCGAGTGTGCGGTTTGAGGGTGGTGAAGCTGGGGTCGGGGTCCTCATCATCCTCGTCCTCGTCGCCGGATTCCTCGGCCTTAATCGCGTTGTTCCGTTCTTGCGATGCGTCGAGGATGCCAATGTGGCCCAATTTGTCGCCAGCAAAGAGAAGGGGCTTCGTCTCAGTGGGGTGGAAGGCCATAGTATAAATTCTTTCTGGGGTGAGTTTAATGCCTATTGTTGACGTTGTGATTAGTATAGAAGTCTCAAAGTTCGGGGGATGAGGGTAAACAGACGGTTGGGCTCCCACGCCTCCCACAGCTTCAATCCGCTCATCTCCTCCCTCAATGCTTTGAGGTCTTTATCCGTCGTCTGCTCGATATCATCCTCGTCAAACGTGCGCTGGTACGGCATCGCTACGCCCTTGGTGACCACATCCACCCCAATCAAACTATCCCCCGACAGCTTCTGCCCGTACACCACCATCTCATTGAACGAGAAGGCGTCCGACTTGCGTACGCGCTTCGCCCGCTCCGCCGCCTGCAGCGCCGCATCCACCTCCTCCGCTTTCCGCTTCGCAACCTCGCTCTCCGCCGCGATGCCCCTCAGTCGCGACGACATCCGGCGCGGCACCGGCGACGCCTCCTCCTGTTTGACGCGCTTCACGGGCGTTTTCTTCTTCGCGCGAACGGAGTGATCCCGCGATGAAGGGGTCCTGGAAGGCTGCATCTTAGGCGGGAAGAGCCCCGAGGACTGCGCCTCCAGGGAGAGCTTCTTGAGGAGCGCATCGCGTTCGGCGATGTTGGCCAGACGCTGCTTTTCGAAGTCGGAAATCTCCTCACCCATTGTTTCTTTAAGGAATGGTCAAGTATCGATGATTAATAAGAACAGATCAAATACTAGAAAATCAGACAAGAGGAGACAAGACGGGTTGAGTGGCGCACGCAAGAAAGAAGCTTTGAAGAGGGAAAAGAGTGAGTGAGTGGGACTGCGATGCCTTTTGCTGGAGAAAGCGGCGCGTCTGGGCCCGCCGCGTGGGCACGTGACTTTAATTGGCCGGGCGGCGGCAAATGGCAAAAGTGAATTAATTTCAATTCCTCCGCGGAAGTTTATTCCATAGAATTTTTGGTCCGCAAGCCTGGGGGTTCTTATTTTCGCCTTCTGATTCTCTCCCACCATCACCTTTTGCATTAGTGTTATATACACTGCAGGAAGAGCATGATGAGTGCTCGCAACGCTCGCGCCTGGCTGGCCCTGGCCCGGGCGACTCGCAATTCCTCTGTTCCATTCCTCTATCAGACTCGCACGCTCGCCGCGGTGCCCAAATTGCGATATCAGCACCGGCAGCTCCAGAGTCAACAGATTCAGTCAATGTTAATGTCAACCGAGGCGCAACAACAACAACAACAACAGTCACAGGAACAATCACAGGAACAAAACGACAACACAGAATACTCCAAACCTGACCCTTCAGCACAAGAAAGCACACCACCAGCACCCCGGCCCGGACGCCGCAGCTTCCTCAAGCGCAAGGCCGCCTCCGTATCCTCCTTCGCTGCCCCAGCGCAATCATCCTTAAACCGACTCAAACCCCCTCCCCGCGCCTTGACAATGATGACGAACAGCGAGAAACAAGCCTTTGGCGAGATGCTCGAGGCCCTTGGCGCCGGAGCCGATCTCAAATCCAATAGCGCGTTACCCACATTGTCCGCATGGCCACCGCCGCCGCCCCAACCCTCAGCGCCTGGCGTCACTTTCCCGGATTCATCCTCTCCCTCCGAAACCGAACAACAACACGAAACTCAATCCCAATCTCCCGCCGCCAACGAACCCACCGAAGACGACCTCCACGAAATGTCACAGATCTCCGCCATTTTCGAGTCCGTCCTCCAGGATCTGAAGGAACGCAAGGCCCGGCAGCAGCGGCAAGAACAGCAAAAATTGGAGAAACGGGGTCAATCTTCCCTGGTGACCCCGTACTCGACCTCGTACCATGCCGGGGGTGACGACCCGGCGGCGTTGCCGGCGAATTCCTCGCTGACGGAGTTCATCGAGTTGCGGCTGAAGAGAGGGGATTTCATCAACGCACAGCTGACGGAGTGGCTCACGCGGAACCTTGTCTCGACGGAGCGGGCGGTGGAGGCGGTGGTGCTGCGCGAGAGCCATGTGATCGAGACGGCGCTGCTGAGGGCGGTCAAGAGGAAGCATGGGGACAGGAGGCTTTGGGATGCTTGTCGCGAGATGGTCTTTCCGCTCGTTCATGCTTTGGAGGCGGATGTGGGGGTGCAGCATTCCGACACGAAGGCGGACGAAACGGAGGTGCTCAAGGATGAATCTGACGACATGTTCTTCGCGCCGGAGGAACCAGCGGAGGTAGAAGATGATCCCTGGGGCGCTGAGGTGGAGGTGGAGTATGATGAGGCCAGTGAGTCGCAGGAGACTGAGAGTTCGACGGCCGCGAACGGGGAAGGACAGCAGGAGGGAGAGGCAGCGACAATCAATGAGGAGAACATCGAGCTTCAAGGGGAGAGTTCGTACAAATTGGTTCTCCCCGAGGGCGTGCCTGTCTCCTCAGTCGTCGCCGAACTATACCCCAAGATGCTCCTGGCCGCCTTCCGCCTGCTGAACCTGCACTCCCCGGCGTCGACGCTAATCGGCCAGTTCCGGTCCACCATCCGCCTGATGGGCCCCACGTCCGCCGTGCTGGGCGGCTCGACCGGGCTCTACAACGAGCTGATCTACTTCTACTGGCGCGGGTGCCAGGACCTGCCGGCCGTGGTCGCCCTCATGCAGGAGATGGACGTCACCGGCGTGGAGCCGGACGCCCGCACGGTGCGGATCCTGGGCTCGATCGCCACCCAGCGCACGCGCGATCTCAAGGCGCACTGGCAGCGGAATATCGGATCGCTCCCTCGGCCGCGAAACCCGGCAGAGAAAGTGCGCGTCGGCCGCGAGACGTGGTGGGATTTGGCGCCGAACCGCAAGGCTTTCCGGGCCTTGTACGACGACGATGGGTGGGTCGCCAAGGTGAAAGCGCGGGTCGAAGAGCTGAGGCGCCGAGAGCAGTTGAACAAGCCCCAACGACGAACCTAGCAGCGTAAAGGGTCATGTATAGAAAGATTTCGGGAATATCCCCTATCGTGTATAATATCTTGTAAATCACATATCCAAACCCTAGAACAGTATACAAGCAGCGAATTCTCTCGATGAACAAGATCTAAAGAGATAAATTAAATATAATACCAGATTCCCCTGTTTTCTCTTAGATCTTCAACCCCCAACTCCGTCCCAACCCCACCGCCGTCGACCCCATGAATCCCAAGCACTCCCTCACCCCCGTGAGCTTATCCCCGACAGCGCGGGCATCCGCCCACCGACGCGCCACGAACTCCTCCGTCTCGCGCAGTCCGGCACTCGTGTCGCGGGTCATCACGATGTCCGAGGCCGCGTACACCGCCGCCACCGCCATGCGCTTCGAGTACCACGAGGCGTCGACGGACTTGTCACCCGCCAGGTTCAGGATATCGTCCGCCAGGGCGTGCAGTTCCGAAAGGGAGAGAGGGATGTTTTCTCCGAGGGATATGACTGCCAATGCCTAGTTCGAAGAAGAATTGGTTATGTTAGTATTGTTATTGTGGTTTTTGTGTGTGTGGGTGTCAGTCAGGTAGTCGGGTTGTGAGTTCAAGAAGAAAAACTCACATCCTGCCATTGATCCTTGACCTCGGCGTTCATGCGCAAGCGTTCCATCAACAGGAACTGGATCTTGTCGTCGACGGAGAGCACGGGGCCGGCCGAAAACAGGCCATCGGATTCGACCTTGGAGCGCAGGAGGCCGCGCCGGCTGGCGAGCCAGAAGAGGATCAGGTCGAATTCGCCGCGGGGGAGGAGCTGCACGGAGACATCCAGGAAGCCGGCGTCGCGGGCACCCAGGGTGAGGGCGTTGCGGGAGAAGCCGTGCGTGGGAACGTGGTGGAGGGCGGCGGAGAGGATGGTGGTTTGCGAGTTGGTGTAGTCGTGGGGTTGGGTGGGGTGGTGTTCGGAGTGGTAAGTGCGCGTGGAGGGGGACAGACGGTTGGGACTAGATAAGGTTGTTCGAGAGGTGATTGTGAGGTTGTTTTGTCGGGTGGTGGTGGTGGTGTGGATTTGCGATTGGGGCTTGGGCTGGCGGAGATGGGTTCGGGGAGCGAGGGGAAGGGCGGCGCGCGGGGAGGAGGCGTGGGAGAGGCCTCTCCGGGTGAGGGTGAGGAGGGAGGTTGGTCGGGTCATGGTTCAGGAAGGTGTTCTCTATGGTTGTAAATAAAGGAGAGGGCTGAAGGGAGTTGGAGGAGAAGGTAGAGAAGGAGAGATTTGCGGTGGTGATGGGGTTGGAAGAAAGTCGGGATGTCGGCGGAAGGAATTTGTTAAGCGGTGGCCTGAGCGGAGCCAAGATTGCCTGCCAGACTCGCTGGTGCCGGGGTGAACCACTAAATGGTTTAACTGCAGTAGGATTGGTCTGTGGTTGATGTTGACCATGTGGGTGCATTAGGAAATACTAGGATTGAATTGTTGACTTTATTGCTAGTAGAGCTGGATTATGCTATTAGGAAGTAGTCAGAATGCCTCCTACATAGAGAGTAAAGTACAGTACTTCGTCCACCACCTGCTAGAGGAAAGTCAGGAAAATATGTAGACGGTAATCAATAAAGTCAATGCTCCACTACTTAAATACCTAGACTCAGTCCCAGAATCTTATGAATATTTATCTCGTAGATTGTTGGTCCAGGTAACTAGCTCTGTGGTACCTGAAGATCTCCCCCCTCAATGACCATTGGCAGTGGATGGTTTTACTGTAATTGTGATTTTTGTAGTAGTGGAGCTAACAGGTCTTTCGATAAAAACCATTGTTGAATAGATCTGATCGATCTGACTGATCTCTTCTCCTAGTGATCCTGTTTATGCACTGGTAGTAAGAGTAGTGGCCAGTCACGTAGAGACTAGTTTATAGATCATTCTCGCAATCATTACTGTCGAAACTAACGGACTATTTCAGACTACTTCCGACTAGCGATGTCCCTTTCATCTTATCTTTTCCCTCCCTTCCTTCGACCCCCGCCCACTCATCCTGTCATCATCCGCATCTGCATTCCACGTCCTCTTATCCCATCCACTCATCCGCCTCCCTTTCCACTCACACACCTTTTATCTTCTGCGCTTTTCCCTCGCTCCCCTACTCTGACCGTTTGTTTGCTGCCGACTTCACAATTGATTACTGTCCAGAAACCATCATGGGTGGGTTCGTCTTTCGATTGTCTCTCGTCCCGTCCTACTTGCCTTGCTTTTCGTTTCCTGCCTCATTGAATCTCCCTCATCACCCCTCCCTCCGTGGATAATACTCTGTCATCCTCCCCTCCAGACGAGCCAGTCCGGTGACTGCACGTTCATGTCTGGTGCATCCTCAATGCCCTTTCCCATGTAGACGCCGTTCAGTCGAGCCCTTGCCCGAGTAAGAGACACAAGAAGCCAATGATACACAATTGGAGAAAAGGACGAAGACTGTGGCGTCTATGCCATCCTCATTCATGTCTCTTATCAGTTCACTTTGGTTGCTGGCTGGCATGGAGACCATGTCAGGTTCCAGGTTGTCTCTGAAGCTGTCAGTCAAGGTGACAAGAGGAAGCGGGCAGCGGGAAGAAGGGGTACCAACGAGGCCAATCACATACTGTGGACCTGCAGGTTGGGGAGAGACAGACACGGGCTGGAACCATGAGTGATTGTTGACTGACTGCTTGCTTGCTGGCTTGCTGCTGCTACTGCTGGTGGTGGTGGTGGTGGTGGTGGTGGTGGTGGTGGTTGCTGGCTGATGGGGCTTATTGTGCTCCTACTGCTGCTCTTGCTCTCACTGCTCCTACTCTTCTTTCCTTTCTACTGCTACTACCTACCTACCTAACCACCTTATGATTACTACTACTACCACTACCACTACCACCATCGTTTCCGTCTGCCAACCAACGAGTGTTCGTTCCCTTTTCCCAACCCAACCCCCCCCCGCCGTCACCCTCCTTTATCTCTTGCTCGCTCTTTCGCTCTTCTCTACCTTAGTTTTAAGTGTTGGTCTCGCCTTTCTTCGGTTGATTACTGATTCTACCCTCTCCTCCCTCCCCTCTCCTCCCCTCTCCTCCCCTCTCTCCTCTTCACATTCCCATCTCCATCTTCCCTTTCCCTATCCTTCACCTCTCCTTCTCCATCTCCTCTACTTCTCACCTCACTTGCTTCCCATTTCAATCAGTTCTCACTTCCCTCCGCTCGTCTTCAATCTTCCTAGCTTGGTAAATTCCTGGGTGGTTCCTTTGTCTGTTTAAACCCCGACCATTGGCTTGGTGGCTTACCATCTAGATCCGGTGTTCAGCCGACGTGTATCGACCTCACCAAGTAAGTGTGGGATTTTCTTTGATTGTGTTTTCTTGTTACTGCTTTGTGTTGTGTAGCGAAACGACTACGTTGTCTCCCTGTGATCCTTTGCTCCTTCATCCTGGACAGGAATGGAGGCAAAGGGCAGAGCTAGAGAAGAGGGAGGCAGGCACTGCGAACGAGAGAGTATGGGAGAGGAGGAGGCAAAGCAGCAGCAGCAGCAGCAGCAGGAGGAGAAGATGAACCAACGGGTCCCCACCCGGGCGGTTGTAGCCTTCCTCTTTTTGCTGCTGCTGGCTCCTCTTCTCCGCCTGGGGCAAGAAGCACCGACCACTTTATCATCTGCTTCTCTCATGCTTCAGTCTCGCGACCAAGGCTTTTGTCTTGTCTTCTCTTGTCTCTCCTTGCCTGCCTGCCTACCTGATCCTCATTGTCTTTCTTTGCCTTCAGCTGGGATCTCAAGTTTTGCTTTCTCTATTCTTTCCATATCCCAATACGGGTCGCCTCCCCCACTCTCCCGCAAGGTCCCTTGAGTCGTGCTGCTTGATTCCCAGTTGAGTCTGGCCCGCACCGGGTCCGAGAGTCACCTGACTACCTACCTTACCAGCCCGGCAACTCGGACCAATCCCTCCCTCTCCCCCTCTGCTGCCACTGCCGCTGCCGCTGCTTGCTGCTGTTCGCTGCTTTGCTGCTTCCCGACTCCTCTCTTCCCTTCTCTTCCCAACTCATTCCCATCTTCTGTTACCCGTCCCATCTTTTATCCTTTCCATTCATCCCACACCCAACACACATCTCCTCCTCCTCCTACATTCCTGTCCCAATTCTAATCAGGGACCTTGCGCGCACATTCTCCACCTCCTTTTCCCTAATTTTCCCTTTCTTTACGCACGTCTTTGCTCCCCTCCGTCCGTGCCCGGTCTTACCTGCGGCGCGCTCAATTCTCGCTCCTCGTCAATGTCTCCACCCGCCTTTGACGATACTGACCACGCCCAGCGCGAGAGGTCCCGTTCTCCCCGTCGCCGTTCCCGTAGCCCCCGACGCAGCCGTCGTTCCTACTCTCCTCGCAGTCGCTCACGCAGTCGTGACGACTACCGCCGTTCCGATCGTCGTTCCCGTTCGCCTATGAGTGCGGCCCAAGGCCCTTCTGGTGGTCATTCATCTTCTGGTTACGGTGGGCGCAGCAGCTACCCGCCTCCAGCTCGGTCATACGAAGAACGCGCTGTTCACAAAGAACAAATGATGCAAGCCGTCCGCGAATCATCCCAGCAAGACCGTCGGGTCTATGTGGGCAACCTTTCCTACGATGTCAAGTGGCATCACCTCAAGGATTTTATGAGACAGGGTGAGCAGGGTCACATCGTCTCGAGCGTCTGGTTCGCTCGTGTCGTCGCTATCGAATCTGAGGGCTGACTTTGGAGGGGGATTCACCCGCGTTACGTGTCTACAGCTGGAGAAGTTATCTTTGCCGATGTCTTGCTTCTTCCCAATGGAATGTCGAAGGTGGGCGCCAATGCGTAGTGTGGCTTGTTTTTTTTTTTTTTCTGCCCTTGTTGTTATTCCTGGACTCTCCCCTTCCCTTTCCCCTCTCGTTGGTTTGCTTGTTATGGACTGTTTGGGTTGACGGGCTGGGCCTGGCCGTCCGGGATACTGTAGGGATGCGGGTAAGGACCTCCTGGCGCTCAATGACCTTGTCGGGCCGCATGCTGACTCTTCGGGTAGGATTGTGGAATACGCGACCAGGGATCAAGCGCAAAATGCGGTCAACACCCTTAGCAACCAGAACCTGATGGGTCGTCTTGTCTACGTTCGTGAGGTAGGTCATGACTCGGCTTCAGCTATCAATAATTGCCGACTGATGGGATGGCTGTAGGATCGTGAACCCGAGCCGCGTTTCACCGGCGGACCTTCGCGTGGCGACTTTGGCGGTGCCGGTCGCGGCGGTTTCGGTGGTGGATTTGGCGGCGGCGGCGGTGGTGCTGGTGGTGCTGGAGGTCGTCAGCTCTTCGTGTCCAACGTAAGTGCGGTCACTAAAAGCGATAATAATGACGGAGAATTGATGGTGGGGTGTCTAGCTTCCGTTCAACGTGGGTTGGCAAGATCTGAAGGATTTGTTCCGTCAAGCCGGTAAGTCACTCTAAACGGAAGGGTGCGGCGCCCTTTAAGGGCCGCTTGCGTGATCTCCGCTCGGACAGCAGCTAATTCTGTAGCTCAACAAGGTGCGGTTATTCGTGCCGATGTTCACACTGACGCCACCGGTCGGCCCAAGGGCTCCGGTATTGTCGCGTTCGAGTCCCCTGAGGACGCTCGCAATGCCATCCAGCAGTTCAACGGCTACGACTGGCAAGGCCGGCCCTTGGAGGTCCGTGAGGACCGCTTTGCTGGTGCCGGTCCCGGCTTCGGGGGCCGCGGTGGCTTCGGAGGTCGTGGTGGTTTCGGCGGCGGTTTCGGAGGCCGCGGTGGCTTTGGCGGTCGTGGTGGTTTCGGCGGCGGCTTTGGTGGTCGCGGCGGCTACGGCGGCGGTCCTGGCTACGGCGGCCCTGGCGGTCCTCCCGGCGGCCCCGGCTTCGAGGGCGTCGCTTCGGTTCCTCCCAACCCCTTCACTGACTTCGCCACTTCCGGCGGCGAGAAGAGCCCCGTCATCTACGTGCGCAACGTAAGTTGAAACCTGACTTCGTCAAGAGTATCGGTGACTCATCCGGATATAGCTGCCCTGGTCTACCTGCAACGAGGACCTCTTCGACTTGTTCACCACCATCGGCAAGGTCGATCGCGCCGAGATCCAGTATGAGCCCAATGGTCGCTCCCGTGGCACCGGTGTGGTTCAGTTCGACAGTGCGGACACTGCTGAAACTGCTATCGGTATGTGCAGGCCATTGTATTAAGGGCTGGTCCTTTTACTGACTCCTCACGCAGCCAAGTTCACAGGCTATCAGTATGGTGGTCGTCCCCTGGGCATCACCTTTGTCAAGTACCTGAATGTGGGTGGCCCTCCCGCGGACGCGATGGAGGGCCAGGAGCCCACGGCTCCCATTACTCAGGATCAGATCATGTAATTGTACCGGCCTGATGGAAATATCTCGGCTTTCGGAGGATTTGATCGGAAAAGTTTGCGATGTATGACTCCGAGTGGTTTAAAGGATCACCTGTCGGCGCGGGCTCGCGTATGCTGATTACCTTGAAATATCGCCCTTAAACTCATTCCCCATTTTCGATATTGTTTGTGTTCGATCTGTTCGATTCAAGTCACCTGTTATGACGTGTGTTTTATCGCTGGTTAGCTTTCGTTATATGTTTTCTCATCTCCGGCGATCTGGTTCGGTGGGGATAAATCAGACCTGGTTTGACAATGTCCAAGAATGTGCGTGTGTACCCCGGGGTGTGGGATGGGGTCTTGCGTCCGATGCGGTTGCGGTTTCTGTTGACTGCCCCCGACAAATTGATGGATCTGAACAAAGGATATGGTTTGGTGTTGTGTTGGACCATCCCGTATTCGGCGGTCTGGCAATGTGCAGTGGTAGTGCGGTAGGCTGTGGTAGGCTATGTACAGTAAGTTCTGCAACATATTGTCCGGTGGGAGACTGTGCCTGTTCCCTTAGTCTCATCGGAGGCAATCACGGGATACACCCGAAGACAACTTCCATGTACAATATAGTTGGTCGTTGCCATCATATTTGGCTATCTTATTCATGCATACGTGGACTACCACAATACATAAAACATAAAAACCTAAGTATAATCGCAGTCAGCATTGCTCCCACTCAGGACAATACCTTGTCTTAAATTACACCCAGTGTCGAAATCTACAGGGGGGGGTGCAAGTGGTAGAGGTGGGTAGTTTATTGTACTTTTTTCCAAGGAAACGAACGGTGGACCTCTCTCATCGTCTGATAAATCAGATCTTCCTCACCATGAGTGGTTTAAGCCGGAATGATAGTTACCACACAGACTGCAAATTCTTTTATCGTATTGTACCATAGAAAGTGTCAGAAGAAAGTAAAGGGAATATGATAGATCCAGAACCGATACGATCAGAAAAGCCAGCTTTGAGCAATACCTAGATGGATTCAAACAGGAAGGGAATAAGAGAAGCAAGCAAAAAGGAAAAGAAAGCCTATCATCAACTCAAATTTCAGGCAACCAACACTCAAACAATAGTGATGGAGGGAATTGAAACCAGTGATGATGGGAAGAAATGGGTGAAATAGATACAAGAGAAGTGTAAGTAAAGTAAGAGGCAACACAAGAAGTAAAGCAAGCAAGAAAGAAAGAAAGAAAGAAAGAAAAAAAACAGGCAACGATTACTTGGAAGTCAAGACCCTTGAAGCAGAGAGCACTGGCTGCAGTGCAATAAGAAACCCCCTCAGCCGAAGAACCCAACCGACCAACCAGCCAGCCAACCAACCGCCTTATCCATTTCCGTACCGCCCGGCCATCCCTGAGTCTAACGCCTTTGCAAAGAGAAATAGAAAAAAAAAGGTCAGCCGTGGTCAAAGTTTACTTAACCTGTCAAGCTGTACAGTAACCCCCGAGGGAGTTGATTGCCCCAATCCGGTTCCCGCTGGTCGAACCTGTCAGTTGTGACACAGAACGCCAAAAGCGATGGAGTGCACGGTTGTGTGCAAGTGGATATATAAAGGGACTGAGAATAATATGGGGTGGGATTTGTCAGAGTGAGGATATTTGAATTCTGTATCTCTCCCTCCCACATATTGTTGTTGAAAATTTGTTTGTTGGTATGTGTCATCCATGAGCGCATCTCAAATATGATTGGTAAAAAGCGCACACATATCAGGATCACCACGTCATTGTCGTCAGGTCGTGAAGATATACAAAGGGGACAACAATAGGAAAGGGTGTGACAAAGGAAAATGCTTTCTTGGGGTTGCAGGACTCTTTTCTTTCCGTCGGAGCTCCTTCCCCAAGTCAGCAGCATTTCAGATGATGGTAAATGGCCATTCGTCTGAGATTACTCGATCGCAGGCTCCCTGCGTCTATGGCGACAGGTTATTTGCAGGAGGATAATGGCCTGGAATCTGCAGTTCAAGAGTGGAGACACTGCCCTTGGTTTGTGCGGGAGGTCGTTTGGCACTGCCATTCTGAGTGACGGCCATGTCAGTGGCAACAGTGCCGACAGACGGGCCAGCATGTATAATTCGCTCATGGCCGGTGGTTGTCATGGGCTGCTTGGCTGCGCCGTCGAGCTCAACCCCAACGATATCAACATTGGGTTCCTCAGGCTCGTCAATTGAGCTCGGAAGGGTGTTGTGTGTGTACTCTGTCCCGTTCGTCGCCGTGGGCGCTGTCGAGGCGCTTTCGCCGCGGTTGCGCTGGCGGGTCAAAGATGGATCTCGCGAACTCGTGGAACCCATGCCGTTGACGAAGATGGCCTCGCCAGTCTCTCGTTCCTGGTAACCTCGGTCGTAACCTTGTTGCGCGGGCTGAGTTTGCTCATTATAACCTCCGGCTCCCATCCATGTGCCATAGTGGCTGTCGTGCCTTTCTACTGGCTGGGGATAGCCTTGATTCTCCAAGTGACTGCCATTTGCCTCACCATCGGTCATGGCGCTACTGAATGGTCGAGGGTCAGAAAAGGATCCGGCCGCCGCCAGCAGGTCTCTGTCACCGGAGCTCTCACCACTGGAAGGCGACAGAGGCGCCTCTAAGTGACGATCTATCTGGACATCGCTGGGAAAGCGGCCTCCTGGTTGACGGGGCTGCGAAGTGGGACGCTCTTGGTACAGGACGGCTGACTCCGCGGAGTAGGGAGTCCTATCCGCTTCATCCTCATCCATTCCATCGCTGCTGTTACGGAAACTGGCGCCACTCACGGTGCGGACATGGCGCCTCACGTATGCGTTGCGGGCCTCGCCCGTCTTGGACATGAGGCTCTCAATATCTTCGTACCAGGCCATCATCGTCTCATGGGTTTCTGCACGGAAGACCCACGAATGACCCCGGTGCATGGTTCCGGTCTGTCTTCCCTTGAGCATGAACTTGTGCGAGTTTGAGTCGGGCTGCGAGTGCGACCCCAATTTCTGATCCAAGAGGTTTAACGACATCACCGGTTGTTGCCATGCGACGCGATCGGCGGATTTGAATTCATGGAGGTGCGTGGGTGACAGGACATACCAGCCGGGCGTGTAGCTCTTAAGATACTTGCTCTTACGCTCCAGCATACCCGACCGGACCTCTGCGGCGGCAGGGTGGTCCTTTCCTGGGTAGGTGATGTTCTCGATATCACGGAGAGGCACCCCGGGATCAACCAGTTCGTCAGTGTCTGCAATGAATGCATTCCACTCATGGTCGTGTGGCATCGAGATGGGTCCCGCGCGGAGTTTCTCAACGGTGTCGTAGGCTTCGTCAGCCTCCCGCTTGAGGATGCTGGCATAGGCGTTGTAGGCCTTCTGAATCTCACTGACAACAATGGATTCGAGCTCGCGACCAGAGTTCTCCAAGTTCAAGAATGCCTAAATGATTATTAGTGTCTGTCGCGCATGGAGCATCGAGACGAGGAACAACCACAACATACCCGATGCAAATAGTTCTCTTCCTCGATCTGCTTCTCAATTTGTTTGTCCACACTCAACCGAACAATGAACGGATCGCCCTTTCCAGAAGTCGCAGATGGATCAGTGTCGACCAGACCCAGGGCCTCGTGTAAGTGTCGAACGGCCTTGCGAGTGGCGTCAACTTCTTTGTCGACAGAGTTTCGGAAATCGCCCGACAGGCTGCGGATCTCCTTAGTCTTCTTCTGCAGATCATTACGGAGACCCATAAGCTGATTGACAACCTCGCTCTCCACCTCGGCCGCCTTAGTCGCTTCCAAATAACCCTGGCGGTGAAAGTCGCGCAAGATCTCGGTCGCATCTGCCAGGCCACCCGACTTGAGGAATGTCGGCGGCAGTGATGTGTTGTTCATGATGTTCGAGGCGGACATGAAGAGTTTCGAGCGTGTTTCGTACGACTTCTGCACTTCCTTGAAGAAGATGATGAGATCTTTGAGGATTTTGCGCCACGCTGTCGCATATTAGCATGTTGCCTCCTGAATCGTTCTACTAGATATGAGGGGTTCTTACATTGGAAGCGGTTAGCCAGTACCTCGGTCGGGCTTCCATCCGTTGGAACGGGAATATAGAATGCGCTGTTCGGATCTTCGCCATCGACGCCGTATTTCTCTCTATCGCCCAGGACGAGGCTTCGTACGCTACCCGCCCGCAGACTTCTCTTGCTACCACTGCGACGCATGCTACCTCTCTTACTGAGGGAGGCCTTCTTTCTTAAAGTGCCGGATCTGGTCGGGGTTGCGGATCGAGATTGGGACATTTGTGAAGCCGAGCGTTGCATGCCGGCGCTCGACGGACCGTCCACAAGAACGGAGCCGCGCTGGCTGGCAGCGTCGAACTCCTCGTGAAAGCGACCGGTGTGAGGGTGAGAGGTAGGGTCGGCGGCTTGGGTGACGTTATTGTAACCGGAAGTGCTGGCGATGATGGAGTTGGGTCGGGAACTGGAGCGCGCGCCGTATGCTCCGCGATTTAGTAGAGAATCGGGATGCTGAGGTAGGGTGCCATAGGGGTCCTGCACCGGCGTTTGCGACCTAACGGCCATAGCCATGACTGGGCAGGAAAGGAAGGCGAGAAGAGGAGGAAAGAAGAGAGAGGGAGGAGGGCGGACGAGTGGCGGTAGTCGTCGTGTCGCGAGTAAGAGTGCGGTAGTTTAGTGGTGGTGGTGGTGACGGGCAATGCAAGTCAGCGCAATCGGGCGGTGCAAGGCAGTCCAGGCCCGTGTGTCGATATCAATTCGGTCCGTCGTTGGAAAAAAAAGGTCCGTTGCCGAATGCGGGCCGCGATCAGAGTTATAAGGGCGTCCAGAGTAACAATATATCATGAAATGCGAAGTGTTGAAAGAAAGAAAGAAATGAGAATAGGGAGGACAGGAGTCGTAGGAGGAAGAGTAGGAGGGAAAGAAAGAGAGAGAGAGAAAGAAAAAAGGAGAGTCAATCTAAAAAGAACCAGCCAAATTGATCGGATTTAGTAGAGTCGTAGAAGGAGCAGGTAGTAGTAATAGTGTAGTATGGCTGGTTAATCGGAGGTAGTATTGGTTGGTTACCGGGGCGAACAACCTAAAGGGTCTCTCATTCGACTAGCAGAATGACTTTCACAAATAGTACCCCTTCGATCAAAAAGAAGAGTGGCTAGAAGAATAGAAAATCATTCCACAGTCGATCAGGACGCGACGTTCGGGGGGAGATTGGGTCTCCACTGAGGGAGAAACTAGTTTCGTATAGGATCGATGGGGGGTGGAAATGGGAAATGGGAAATGGGAAATGGGAAATGGGAAATTGGAACTGGGCTGGGCCCGGAGTAGTCGTAGTCTAGTAGTAACGTTACTAGTAAGTAGAACGGAAATGAGACTCTCCAACAAGTAGTGACAGGAGACAATCTCTCAATCTGTGCAATCCAGATCGCCGTCAATGTTTCAGGAACAGTTGAAAGAAGGAGGAAAGTGTAGAGGAGTATAGGTAGGAGGTAGAATGTAGAGAGTAAAGTGTAGTAGAGTTGTAGAATTGTAAACTTGTAGATAACTAGAAAGTTACACAGTTCCCTTTCTTAGCCTCTGAAGGTTTAAAGGGGGGAAGTGGTTATATCCAGTGCCGGTTCGGATGACGTCTACTCCAGCCAAACGAACCAGATGGTAACTGCGACGTTATGACGCTTGGGACGGAATCCCCGGTCCCGACCTCTGCATTTTTCTCTTTTTCTTCTTCTTTACTTTTCTTCACTTGACTTTCTTTATCTCTTCTCTGACCATACACCTTGTTTTTAGAGTTCCGTTTGCTGAGGAGGGGAGGAGAAAGGAGGGTGGCCAGAAAGTACGAGAAGAACCATTGAAGTATACTATACTTATGCAGCTACCGTATGTATACACATGTACTCCGTAGTCTCAATGGGTCTGGGCAATATGCACTATGGTCCGTTCCCCTTTTCCATTGGGTTTATAAATATAGTCTCATAATCCAGACTCTCCAAAGATAAATTGTAATCTATAGAAATTCACCAATCTCAAACTGAAGTACAATAGGACATAGCCAACCCAAAGAATGGATGATCATCATCCCACGGTCAGATTCGGTACAAACAATAGCACACTGCATGTAGGTACTAGGTACAGTTAGTAGGCACATCGTCATTCTCATGACTATGGCGCCACCCAATGGTCATGGAAAGAGAAAAGGGCGAGCCCACAGTCCTTGCCGCTGATGCTATTTGTTGCTGCTACTATGGTGTATGGTTGTTCAGGTTGTGGTTGCTGCCTGCCCTCACTGCCCGAAGCATGATCTAAGGCTTTATGAATCTCATGCATGGAACGTGGCTGGTGCCATGCATAAGCATCACCCTTACCTTACATAAGTCAGATTGTGGCTAGGGAGTTGATCCCCACAGCTCTCGTTTTGCCTTTTCGGGCAGTGGCCGGGGCGGGGGGGTTTGTCCGTCCAGCCAATCTACGGATAATTAGATACTGTGTCTGCGCAATACTTCCTTATGCCTTCGAGGGGAACACCCCTTTTCCAATCCTCTTCCCCCCCCCCACACCCCCTCTCCTTCTCTTGTTGCCGAACAGGTGGCAATTCTAATCAAACTCAGATGCACACAGGAGAAAAGGAGACTCCCGGGCGGATCTTCGGGAATGGATCCCTCTACACTCTCAGCTTCTTTTCTGGTCTTTCCCATTCGGGTATCGGCGAGGCAGCACTCCCAAAGATTCCTATCGATCCTCGACGTCATGCACGGTTCATCCACTCCATGTCGATCCGGATGGATGCACCACTACGAGGTACACGGATGTGAACCACTGACACAGTTTGTGAGGTCGAACCACCGATTGTGAGGTCAATCTCTTGCTGTTTCTCTCATCGATCGCGAAGCATCCAGCCCGATTCCACATACCAAAGGTCTGATGGCTCGCTTCTCGCTTCTGCAACAACACTCCACATGACACCTTTTTCTCTCTGCAATGCACGCACCCTTGACGTAGCCCTGTCATCCACTTACCTTGCCTCCGGAATGAAACCAGTTAGCGCACGAACATCAGTTCCTCTTTTCTTGTAATTTGAGAAGACATCTATAATTCCAATGACTTCACATGCACATCCGAACGCGAATCGATTCGCCGTCCTGGTTGATCTCGAGGAACAGAGGTACCGGTACTGTTGACGACTCAGGAGGGGAGTAGGAAGAGGGGCCGGCCCCGACGATGTGATATCATAAGTTCCCCTGCATAGATTATCATGCATCCCTTGACTCTGTGTCAATACGGAGTAGACAGCTGGGCGACCCCATCAGCCTGGGTGAGAATTTCATCCGGTGAACCTCGGAGAATGGCCGGTTCCCCTTGCCTTTCTAGAAGCCCGAAAAGAAGGGAGGGATGGAGGGTTGCACTGTTCGCGGTGCTTATGCGACCTGAGTGCGAAGTCGCCAATCTGCAGGCCTAATGTGAGGTAGCCTGATGGGAAGGCGAAGCTGTACTACCAAGGCGAAATACTTCTGCCTGTACATGTATAGCAGCGGAGATGATACTAAGATGCAAGTGAAGCCTATCCGAACGCACTTGATCAGATACAGAGAATTTGCGAACATACAAAACCACTCTCCCCTTCGGATTTAGCAATATTGCTCCCACGAAACGAGGTTCAGGTAGAATGAGATACTCAGTAGTAAACTCATCTGATCTAAGACACTAATCCCCGATCTAATGCTTGTTGTAGATGCCCGCAATTATGCGGAGAATAATCCCGCTCGCCTCCCACTGTCCTGCTCCTGCTCCTGCCACTGCCCTCCACTTCCTGTATCACATTCGTTAATGGATATAATAAGCTGGTATTGGGGTCCGGAGACCTGGTTTGTCTATCCATTCACCCTGAAGATTACTATTTCACCGTTGCTCTTCGCACGTCTCAGCTGGTGGCGACCGGACAGGCCACCTCAGGACTTTTGCCAGGGTGACGTACTCTGTCATAGTGCTCAGAAACGAGTGGAGTTGACCTCTGTGAAGTCTTCATCTTCTGCTCCAGCTTTTAGCAATTTCAGTACTTAGGTAGGTACGAACACCGTTAGCGTATAGTTCACGCCAAGCCCATATGTAAATGCACTTGAGCAAAGCAATCTGCGGCATCGCAGATTATGAGCAATGTCAGAGCAGAAAGGGCGCTTGAATATAGTTTGTCTTTTGAGTGTCCTTGACTTACGATATATGCATGAAGCACATGTATCTTCCTTGTTGTAGTAGTGTAGAGTCTTGTACAGAGACTCTCTGCTGCTTTGATAAGCTGACCGTGTGATTGGCCGGCACCCCTCCAGTGGTAATTTAAGAAATGCGGAGGTAGACATGAATCCATGCAATGCTTCGGTATGGCAATAATGCCCGCGGTTTCGAGACAGACTTCCTAGTGATCGAGTAGCTAGCAATTGAACCATTCAAAGGTATAAAAACGACGAACAATGGGTTTAAACTCGAAGCAGGGGCTATTGTTCTCTGCATGGCTGGAGAGATCGCGCGGCATGCCGAACCTCTGGCTCTTGCATGTATCATTTACTTCACTTATTCCGTGACGACCTTCCTTATCTTCAATTGTAGGCCTCATACGTAGATATATTCCGCATTATGCGCTGAAATACCCTTTCTCCCAGCAAAGATCAGAAAACGAGTAAGAAAAAAGGTGCATTCGTGGGGACGTGCCAAATCTGCTAGCTGAACGGCATCTGGGTAACGCAATAATTTTACACAAAAGAATATATCGGAAATTGGGGAGAGGGAAGACTGCGCAAAGAGGAAAAATTCAATGAAACCATTTCTATGATGCAGGAACCTCGATACCGTATGCCTCCTTGATTCTCTCCCGCCGTCTCTCAGCATATCCAGGGCCGTAGATACCTGTTCGAATACAAGGTTAGCTTTTGGCGGCGTTCTGCATCAAGTGTCCGATGATGCCGTTCATCATTTGGGAGACCTACCTCGTCCCTCACCCAGCTGAGCAAGAGTCTCCTCCCCTGAGGTTCTGTATGCCGTTCTGATCCGCTCACGACGCTCGAACTCGTCGACGTTGGGCTCCCGCTTCTTACCAAAGAACGAACCACCGGTATATTCGAAAGCGCCGAGGGTGACGGCCAGGCCAACACCATAGCCCAGGACTGCGGGGAAAGTGCGGACTATTCAGGACTCGTCAGCGGTAAATCCAAATGGGGGAGAGGGGCATGGGATTGAGAGAAATCAAAGCAATTGTGCAGCACTGACCTTTAAGTCCCAGAATAGCACCGGAGAAGAAACCTCCCAGCGCGACGTTGTAGTGGTCTTCCTTTTGACGAAGATTGGCGGAAGCGGTCTTCACGAACTCGTAGGTACCTCCCATCGCGGCTAGACATGCGGTGTCAGTAACAGATTGACAATTGACCCGGATCATGCCCCAATGGCCAGTTGCAATGGGATATTCGTACCGAAAATGCCGATCGTGCCGCCAGTCCTCGTGAACACACCCCATGGTCCGACGTTCTTTCTAGTCAGGGTGTTCTGGACGGCGGAGGCGAAAAGACCCACTCCACCAGTGAGCATGGTGGTTT